TTCGGGATAATACATTGTGTTGCCAGACATTAAGACCCCCCCCCCCCCGGACTTTAAACCCCATTTCATCTCTATATATTATTTATACTCTAATTAACCGTAATATAACCTGTATGGTCCCCTGCCAGTTAAAGCAAAAGTGTCCCCGCATGTGAGGAAGTCTTAAATGGTGATCAAGAGAGAATAAATCTTTTGGCTAAGAGTGGCTTGTATCATTTAACCCGCTAAAAACTGAAAAACTAGCACTAGTTCGGAGAACTTAATTAGTCTAGCCTTAATGTTAATTTCGATATCAATTAGTACACCCCCTTATCTACAAGTGCGGGCGATGAAATCAATTCTACCCAATATATAGGAATACTATCAAATATTTATTCATATAATTGTTTAACTGTGGCGCGTTTTACATTTAAAGACAGTTCCAGGACCTTTTCTACTATTGTTTCTGTTGTATAGAAGCCTTGAATTATGTCATAGCCAATATCTGCTACTGTTGTCAATTGACTCTTAATAAAAATATCACTATTCTTAATGGTTTTACTGTTTTCTAAATTCTGATTACAAAATAGAGATTGTTTCATAACCTCGCCAATATTCCGAGGTGTACATTTAAATTCACCTCGAAAAGTATCCCATGCTATTAATAAATATGCATAGAATTTGGGCAATTTTTTTAAACCTGATTTCTCATACTTGCGATAAAAAATGCCCTCTTTAAGATTTTAGTTTCTATAGGAATACAAAAATAAAGTCATAGTTTTCTTCCAGATAAATTGATCATTACGTACATACTTTTTTCTAGCAGTTTTAGGAGCAAATAACATTTTTGGAGACTCAAATCGGAAATATTAAGACCACCTTTCCTCCTTGGCCAATTATTTAATTTTGGGTGGTTTCTTGTTCCATAGAAACGCTGTGACAATTATTTGAATTCGGTGTTAACACATGTATTACACATGTAAGAAACCATATTTCTGACGAGATTAAAGTATTTATTATGACTGCTTTCCCCATTAGAGAAAACTCACGTTGTGTTCAAATATTTAATATAGTTTTTATCTTCGTTAATTTTTCTTTTCAATTTATTATTTCACATTGTTCCTTATTGGCCCCAAGATATACATCGAATAATCTTTGTACAATTCTTATTGATAGGAATATCTATATCATTGATCGTAATTTAATCAGAATGATTATTTCCAATACTAAGAATAACTGTCTTTTCTATATTGACCTTTCCACCCGTTGCTTTACTATAGCGTGAAATAGATTTGAAGCACTGAATGACCGAATCTTCATCGACTACCGTAACGGTGGTACCGTCTACGTTACAGGTTGAGATGTTAAACCTGTTAACGAACGAAGCGCGTGCTATAAATGACTTGTAACATTAATTGACACCTACTCAACAAGCTAGTTGTTATTGCACAGAAAACCCACCCCACTTTTCTATATGATTTCTTCTAAAACTAGTGTAAACCAGCAAAAGAGTGCAATAACATTGAACATGTCTAGTTATTGCGCGGTTAAGCTCCACCCAATCTGGTTATTCAACGAATTACAAATGTTGATAGAGAATCGCTATTGAATCCTGTACTTTTACACTTGTAATTAATTAATTAGACCTGTCTTTTATAGACATATTAATAAGGGTTTCCGATATTATAACGAATAGTAGAGTCGACATCGGACAGCCATGTGGCTGAGATCTTTTAACATCGAAAAAGTTTGAAATGTGTCCATTGCACTTAATGCAACTTTATATATTTGAATACAATATCATAATATATATTGACGAAATTTGCTCCGAAGCCAAAACTATTTAATATTTTCGTTAAGTAGTCGTGGTCCACCAGATCGAATGCTTTCATTTGATCAATCTTGACAATATATGCAGAAGACCTGTCGTGAATTATAAAATCAACGATGTCTCGTATTGACATTTAATCTATCTTTAATATGTGGTTCGGGTCCACTGCACATACTATTAGTGTTTGATGCTGCCAATTGAGAGACGCGGTAGATCCTGTGTTCATCTGGATATTCTGGCTTATGGTCTGTCATGGTAAATACGTATAGTCGTTTGGATAGGACGGAAAACCGAGGTACCGTGTACATATTGGCATGTAGGTAAAAGTAGGCAAAATTTCCCTCATACCACACTACATATCGTATGCCCGTCTTCATTAGCCCAGTTGAGTCAGAACAGTAGGGAATTAAACCCCATTTTATTTCATTTCTTAGTTATTTCGGGACTAACATATGGTTCAATTTTATTTCAATAATTCGCTTGCGCGTAGGCGTCTTTAGCAGTGGGAGAAAACCAGAGGACCCGAAGAAATCCCAGGAGGTTGTACAAGCGACACTACTCCTTGTCACGTACAACCGAGGAATCGAAACCACGCCAGTTGACTCAATTGCAGACCTTATGATGAAATGCGCACGCGCTAACCGTTCGGCCATACGACTTCCCAGATGTCCGAACATTGGCCCTACATTATAATGTTGTCGCTACTGTTAACGTCCTTCTTATATTTTCCTTAAAACGTGATCTCTTTATTTCCATAAAACGTTGTCTCTACCGTGGACCCCCCCCCCCCCCCATACACACACACACACACACACACACGTCCCCGCTGCCCAAATTCCTGGACGGTCATTTGTCAATGCAAAATCGGTTATACGCCCTTGATTTAAATTAGTTGCACAGAACTACTAGTCTGCTGATCCTTCGCCGACTGGTTGCAGACGATCGCAACCGTGACAAGTCAAGGAAGGTTCCTCAAAACTTATAAATGAAGCGAAAATGATTGCTGACGGCGCAATCTACGGGGATATACATAGTTTTTTTTAAAAAAAAATAACTAATAGGAAAAAAAATATATGAGAGAGAGAGAGGGGGGGTGGGTTAACGTCCACTCGACCCAAACTAGGTCATTTTTGGACTAACACATGGTTCAATTTATTTCAATTATTCGCTTGCGCGTAGGGATCTTTAGCAGTGGGAGGAAACCGGAAATTGGAAAATGAACCCAACGTAACTTACGAAAATTTGTCATCACAGCCAACAATTTTCAAAAAAAAGAGGGACCTCTGCATTAAGGTTTTCAAAGATCTTCTGCCAAACACGCGATATGTAGCATGGCTTAGATTGGGAAATACAATTTGAAAGGGAGAATACCCTTGCATGGAGGTCGGATAATAACCTGCATAAATTTGTCAGTGATTTTTGAATTTCTATGTCCGTTTGATAGACATAAAATGAGGTTTGATATAAATCAAATGAAATGAAATGGGTTTAACTAAGCCGCTGCGGTCCCTATTTGATAGAGGTAAAGAGGCACTACCAGCGCAATCCCTGCCATTAAGACTGGTTAGCGTTATATTTTTATTTAGGGCTTTATTATTTGGTGGTATGTGTTAAGACGGTATCACGTTAATGGATTTTTCAGGACTTATCAAGTCGGCATACATCATGCAGTGTGGTAGGCTATGCGGACAATTTCACCGGACAGCGGCGCTACGGCTTGGACAAGGGACGTTTTGGTCTCACCTGAACGACTGCTGACCATGCACGTTCACTGGCCCTGTTTCCTAATCAGTTTAGATTAGAGTTTGAACATTAACAAGATATAAGTTCAAATTTTATTAGAACCCAATTCAGTGACAGCCATTTCGTACTTAACATTGACAAAACTACGAATATTAAATTCTTCCAATAAACTGTGGGAGACATGCCGTTTTGGGCAGTGTGGGGTGTGCTCTGTACAACATAAGGTACATCGCTTGTAACTGGCGAAGAGTACGGACGTCTGCCTAACCCCGTGCGTTTTCGACAGGCTGTGATATCCTTCATCGCGTGTATTATCCCATGCGTATAGTTGGCGAAGAGTACGGTCGTCTGTCTAACCTCATTGTGTTTGATAACGACAAGAGAACTAAGCGGTTGAAATTTCCGGCTAGCCTTGATCATCATTACTAAAGTCAGTACGATAAACAGCATAGTCTCGATTATCCACTTAATCCTTAAATGGCGAAGGAAAGTTATGCAGTAAATCGGCTCATAATCCACTAAAGATCGCAGGCTAGCGATGCCATCTTGAGTTGATTATGGTCTGGATAGCTTAATTAATGTCTAATTAATAATTCAGATAACATTTCAGGCCTAATGAAATACCTGCAATAGATAGATTTTGCTTTTGCATAATGTATTTTTAAATCATAAACTGTTCTTTGGGCTGACACTCTTCGAAACAAGCCAAGGTTTCTCCAGTTGAAGTACCATAGACATGATTGATTATTCTGTGGACAATTCATTCTTGGTTTCTGGTCCATAGTATCGCTCGTAGTCTTTTTCGTTTTCTTATTCATGTTAACATGTCGATAGTCAACTAACTTCGGTGGGAAAAGATTATATTTGAACACAATCGCAGCTTTAACAAAAACGAAAATCATTTTCCTGATTTGCTGGATATCACTACAATTTCTTTATTTGTAGACTGACGTTAAAATGCGGAAAGCCAACTAACTTCGGTCAAAATCTTAGCTGGACTAAAAACAAGCCCTGCTTTTGATGGAGACCACCACAATTTCATATTTCTTTTTGTAAATTGGCCAATATATTCCCCGATTTAACTGGATAACACCGAAATTTCTTTCTTTCAACCTTTCGGACAAGTTAAAATTTGAGCAAAAACCACATTCCTGAATTGTTCGATTCCCGAAGTTTGTCTTATATCCCAGGAATTTAGTTTTAAAAATAAAATTAATTGGTGGCTAATCATCAATATGCGTGTTGGTGTCTTTTATTTATAAATTGAGGTGTGTTTTGATTGGCCTCGGGTAGACATATACTATGTCTTTTGGGTCTATAAACGTCAAAGTGCGTGACATCTCATAATTACACATAACCATCTTAAAATATAAGATTTGTTCTTCCCAGAATGCACAGGATATAAAATGTTTTTAGGTTAGGTAAAAGAATTAGTCAAATGATTGTGTATGTTAGTTGACTCAAGCCCGTCATTATGGCTGTTTCTATGTTGCACACATTTCTAGTAGCCTCGACTGTGTTCTTCAACCACGCTGTGAATGGACAATGGAATCCAATGTCTAACGGCTGGAACGAGATGAGTGGATGGGAATCCGGCCCCGGTCAATGGGGGGATTCCAGTGGTGGTAATTGGGGTGATGGTGAAGGTTGGGGTAAAGCCCCATCTACATCATGGGGTGGAAATCCCTGGGCTTCTTCAGGAAACAGTAAGTATCAATCTAGTTCATCTTCAGGTTGGTGTCTCACCAATATTTGTATTAACACAATTGATTCACTTACTTGTGTAAACTATCCTCATAGCACCAAATTAAATTTCGCTATATTTAAAGTTCATCTTCAGACAGGTGCTATTAGCAATTTATTTATCAACACATACTTTGTTTATTATTTGTCATAGCACCTCATTTGTCTAAATTTAAAGTCTCTATCTATGCGTCATTTGAACGGTTGCTAATTCCTTGCAACAAACGATATTGTGACCGTTGAATCTCTAAAAGGAACATAACATCAGTCGAGAAATGGTTCAGTCCCATTCAGCATTTAAAAAGAAATAATGAATTGAATTCGGCAAACTCTGCAGATAAAAGAAACTGTATATCGTCAACCACAAATCATGAAAATTCATTTAAATATATATATCACTGGATTCTTATTAAATAACAAATATTTAGTCGATCGTTTTTATTTATCTTATGGTTGTGGCCGCTTATCTGTGGTGGTCGTTGTGTTTTGACCAACTTGTCGTTTAGAAGCCTGTTAAACAAGCTGAACTCTTTTTATGCGTCTGTTTTGAAATCCTCTGAATCCAAACCGAAGATTCTCTACATACAAACATACAATTAAATCGAATAATTATTGTCCTATGAAATTTGTTGAATTGTTCGAGGTATTGGGTGAACGCTTATTCAACAAAAGTTATTCTAAGTTAGGCGGAGCTGGAATTTTCACAGTCAACTAAATAAATTCCAACACTTCAAACTTTTATTTTTCGGTTATTCGCCGCACTTCATCTTGGTATATAGGCAGTTATCACTACGGTATGTAGGTTATGATTGTCTACTTCAAAACATCCTACCAATCAAACCGCTTGATGACAAAAAGTCTGACAGGGTTAAAAACTTTAATTGATTGTCTAATTCTGCCCTTTAGATTGTTTAAGAGTGAGAAATGAAACGACGCGGGGAAAATAACATCGAGTTCATATTTTCAAAGGACACTGTGCTGTACAGTTCCGAATTTGTAATATAGGTGAACAGACGTAGTATAGGTGAGCAGATGGCAAAAACACAAGTATTTCATTAATTCGCTTGCACATATGAGTCTTTAGCAGTGGGAGGAAATCGGCGGCCCGGATGAAATCCACGAGGCTGGACATGTGAAATTACTCTGTGGCATGATTTTTGACTCAATGACAGAACTTATGATCGACATCACAAGGCATATTATTGCAGGTCAATGAAATTGACCCGTTTATCGCACATGTTCAGATTAATTGACGGGTCTACGTCAATATTTCGGCATGCCCAGTTGTCGTATGCACATGACAAGCTCATAATCAATTTACTAGAATATCGCCTGGCTAATATACGGAATGGATTAGACCACCTGCGCCTAGCGATACGATTAACGTCGCTCAATAAAAGAACCGACAATATAGACTATCCTGTCAAAACTTCAGTCACTCATAACTTCGCTTAGAATAAAGTAATTTGACTGAAATATGAAATATATTCATTTTCCATTATCTATTTGTGAACTATTTTAACAGAAACGGCAAGCTGGTTACATAAATCTTATATCAGGCAGCTTTATTGGGAATATATCAGATCTGTATTATCACGGAATCTAGAATGAACTCTAAGTATCGCCAAAGAGAGAAATCAGGTGCTAAGTGAGAGGGACGCAATGACGAGCTTTGCGTCATGGTTTTCCAGTTTTTGCGTCTCCTTGAGTTTCTGCGCCCTCTCGGCAAATTGCAAAATATCACGCGGTTTTGGAGCTCGGAAGGAATGTTGTATTTCATGCAAAATCATGATTCTGCAAGCTCATGAGTGAAATATAGTATTTTCAGCAAGTAAAGAAACACAGTTTGGTACCTGTTAAAAAGTTTATCCTCCACATTGGATACAAATATTGTTGTAGTTTTGGTTTGATATAACGGTGTTCTTTTACAAAACTGGAGTTAAAATTCATATCGGTTTGTTTAATTTTTACCCCCAAAAAGCTAAGAATAGTGTGCTCCAAATGTTTTAATGGTACTGATCAGCAGCTCGTTATTGCAATTTGTCTAAAACACCTGGTGTGAATTTTCAGGCTTGTCCCCCTCTGTGTTAGGATAGATAGGTACTGCACCACTAACAAGGGCAACAGGCTTGGTAATCGACTCAAATTCTCGAACTATAACTTAGTGTTTTCAAATAAAATCGTCAATTAAGGAATTCAAATATCGGTCAACTAGCTTGTTCTCAAATGGGGCAAATTGTAGACAGATTAACTTTGGTTTGCGAGATTATTTGTGCTTTAAACTTAATAAGATTAATTGCTTTTACTCAATGTTTGGATGCCCCTTGAATCGCCTAAAAACCATTATTCCATCTGATTTGATATATTTTAATTGTCTTCCTCTGTCTCACATGTCTGGGGGATTGGTTGGCCGAATGGTTAGCACTCGCGAACTGTATCATAAAGCCTGTCATTAAGTCAACTGGCGTGGTTTCGAATCCCCGGTTGTACGAGACCTCGTGGGTTTTCTCTGGGTCCTCCGGTTTCCTCCCACTGCTAAAGACCCCTGCGCGCAAGCGAACTATTGAATATAAAATTAAAGGAGCTAAACTGCTAATATACCGGACCTAGAAATCGACCCAAATGTGTCGCAACGCATATAATAATGTAATCTGATTGTATATAAACTGATTTACACTCAATTGTATCCGTTTTGACTCTAATTTCAAATCAGTTACGTCCAGCGAAGTACGGTATGAGTCTCTACCGATTTGCAATTTCTAGCGTCTAGTTATTTTCCAGTCTATTGCGCATGTTCTCCAGATAAGATATGGGGTGACCGTTTGACATGAGATGTGGAATATGTCTAGCCTCCTTCGGCTCACTTGTTAGAAACGCACTATGGTACACGATTCGTGTACCAATGGTAAAATGTTCATTTTGTCTTAAATATTGGATATCAGAAGTCTACCTTTTCCCGGTAAGATCACAACATCAATGTTGATATGAATTGACAAATAATTCGCGTTTTCATCGTGTAAGACTTTGGATGATATTGAGTTAGAGACTTAGCTACTTTAAACCACATGTTAGTCCCGAAATGACCTAGTTTGTGTCAAGTGGACGTTAAATCCCATCTCTCTCTCTCTCTCTCTCACACACACACACACACACATGTCTGAGTACAAATCAAGAGGTGAGCCCTGGGAATCACCAACTCTGCACGTCACACCCAACAATGTGCTTCCCGTTTAAGAGTCAGATTTGTTATTGTTTTGTTTTGTTTTGTTATGGTTTTTTGTTTTGTTTTTTTTTAAAAATTCCCTAAATAACAATGTTCAAGAGCCAGATTTGTTATTTTTTGTTTTGTTTTGTTATGTTTTTTTTTTGTTTTTTTTTTTAAATTTCCTAAATAACCATGTTGATTATAATGTTTGTGTTTGTATTGTTTAGGCTATGAACCCACAGCTGCTACTTGTCACGTCCAAGATAAGCACGGTAACGGATTTGAAGTAACGATAGAACCTGTCCAAATGAATCCATGGGCTTCAGCAGTAAGTGTTATTTTCTAGTTCAGTTGAGTAAAAAATTGAAACATCTATTTAATTAAGGCCGATGCATTGATTTCATAAGCGAATGTAATGTTGTGATATGCCTATTTTTAGGTTCAACAGTCGATCGATACGGCCAACAAGTGCGATAGTACTGTATGGACCAGAAGAAGAACATTACGTCATCACCGCCGCCATGGATGCGCATTTTTCCAACAAACATGCATGCCAAATTTCATGTCGATCGTACTTGAATTGACGAAGCCTTGTGCTTTTTTTCGATGCGCCACGCCTCCACAAAATAGTAGACAAATCGACTGAAGCTTATTGAGAACTGTAATAGCTCGGGCGCCATTTCTAATAAAAATAATACAGATCAACCCAATTTAACAGTTTATTTGGGTCTAATAGTAAGTGTTGGAGAACCGCCTTATACACAAAACAAAGCCGTTAGACAAAACTGCACACAGCACGAACTATACCGACATTGAGTCAACTAACGTGGTTTCAATTCCCTGGTTGTACGTGACAAGGAGTAGGATCGCCTGTCCAATTTAGTGGGTTTTCTCTGGGGCCTCCGGTTTCCTTATACTGCTAAAGACCCCTACGCGCAAGCGAATTATCGATATAGAATTGAACCATGTGTTAGTCCTGAAATGACCTAGTTTGCGTCGAGTGGACGTTAAACCCCATGTCTTTCTCTCCCCTACAAACACCATATACCACTTCTTTATTTATGTTTATCATTTGTTTTTCTAGTGGGGAGGATTTCAACAACAAGGTGGTGTTACCATTCGCATACACGTCCATTCTGAAAACTTAGATGATAAATACATCATTGCTGTCACAGAACTATCTACTGACTACGTTCAGTGTGAGACCGGTGATCTTGGTTATGTAGTGGACGGGTAAGATTGAATCAGTTCAATTACAAATAAATTTAAATGGATTTTAACTTCCTACTTTTCTTGGAGCCACGATGGTTCGGTGAGTAAGACGTTGGCTTGCTAACCTGGAGGTCCCGTGTTCGACCCCTGTGTTGTTCAGTGGTGCATGACAGAGAGCCTGGCAAGGGACAACGTATAGTTGTTCGGGTGGGGCGAAAAAACGGAGCACGTAAAAGATCTCTTGGCAGATGAAATTCGATACAAGAGTGGGCTCCATTCCATACTGTATGGTGTAAGTCCGTCTTCATTAGCCCAGTCGGTGCAGAAAGTAGGACGTTAACCCCATTTCATTTCATTTCATTTCCCTCATTACACACTGTATAGCGCAGTCAGAGCAGAAAAATAGGACGATAACACCCATTTCATTTGGTCTGTTTGGTCTGGCGGCACAATGTTTGGGGGTATAAAGTATATAAAATCTAAATCTGCCACACTGTAAAGCATAGTTAATCAAATAAATCAAACGAAATGGGGTTTAACTTCCTACTTTTCTGTACCAACGGGGCTAATGAAGACGGACATACGCCAGGCAGTGTGTTATATTTAAAAATATATTTACATTTATATCTGTATCAAAATTTAACATTCAATTTATATCTTAAATATTTTTATACGCCCACATTTTCATGTGGACGTATTATGCCGTCGCCCCTGTCCGTCCGGACGTCCGTCCGTCCACAATTTGTTTGTGGACACTCTACAGGTCACAATTCTTATCCGATTTTGACGAAACTTGAAATATAGGTTTATCTCTGCTTTCGATATTGGCATGTATCGGATCGAAACTTCATGGATTATGGCCCCTGTTTGTACGAAAAATCACGTTTTTAGCTTGTGGACCCTATAGAGGTCACAATTTTTATCCGATTTTGTTGAAACTTGAAATGTAAGTTTATAACCCAAAGATCCCGGTTCCTTTCGATATTCGCGCATATCGGACCATAACTTCCTGAATTATGGCCTCTGATTGTACGAAAAATCGCGTTTTTAACTTGTGGACCCTATAGATGTCATAATTTTTGTCCGATTTAAAAAGACGTATTATTATATCACCATTACACCCTTAGGACGACTGAGTTAGTATTTCGTGAAAATCGGCCCAAAATTGACAGACAAAATGGCCGCCGTTCGTTCTCAAATAGCGTAAAAATATGGTATATATCAAGGTTGTGGCCCCTATAGAGGTCACAATTTTTATCCGATTTCGTTGAAACTTGAAATCTAAGTTTATAACCCCCAGATCTCGGTTCCTTTCGATATTCGCGCATATCTGGCCGTAACTTCTTGAATTATGGCCCTTGATTGTACGAAAAATCACGTTTTTAGCTTGTGGACCCGATTTTGTTGAAACTTGAAACGTAAGTTTATAAGCCGAAGATCTCGGCCCCTTCGATATTCGTGCATATCGGACCATAAATTCCTGAATTATGGCCCCTGATTGTACGAAATATCGCGTTTTTAGCTTGTGGACCCTATAGATGTCATAATTTTTATCCGATTTAAAAATACATATTATTTTATCACCGTTACACCCTAAGGACGGCTGAGTTCGAATTTAAGGAAAATCGGCCAAAAATTGACAGACAAAATGGCCGCCGTTCATTCTCAAATAGCGTAAAAATATGGTATATCAAGGTTGTGGACCCTATAGAGGTCACAATTTTTATCCGATTTTGTTGAAACTTGATATGTAAGTTTATAACCCAAAGATCTCGGTTCCTTTCGATATTCGCGCATATCGGACTGTAACTTCCTGAATTATGGCCCTTGATTGTAGGAAAAATCACTTTCTTCTTAGCTTGTTCCCTATCCATCTCTTGCAAAATGTGGGCCTACCTTGCATGGCAACCGCTTGTTATATAATTCTACAAATCGTAAAATAAATATCTATATCATATTTAACAATACATTTATATCTTAAATGTGTTTAAATATTTGTACAAATCGCAAATTTGTTATTTTCAGTCAACCTTCTACACCAAACCCTGGATTCTGGGGTGCTTTTAATAATTTCGGGCGAATGAGACGTCCTGCTGGAATAGGGTCTGTTACTCTTGAACCTGGAGAAGAAGAAGACGTTACGATCACAAATAGTGGTATTTACCAGACTTTCCATGATTTCCGTGGACGAGGTTTAGCTGTAAGTAACTGTTTCAATGACTTCGGTTCCAGAATTACACTTATTTTTGCGGGTGTTAACTAGTGTTAAAGCAGACGTTAACCCCTCTATCCCCTCCCCCCAAGCACAGATATTATGTGGATATGGCAGTTAGTTAAGGCCTACCTCCAAAGAGCAGGCAAATGGCGCGAGGGTTGAGAGAGAGGGGCCAATGGCGTGTTTCTGTGAGGCGAGATTTGTCTCTGGTAGACTTCTTATGGTATCATTCGCTATTTTCGTTACAATGCTGCTGCAGGTGACCCTTGTAATGATTGTAAGTGCGATTTACAATCATTCATTTATAATAATGGTACATTTTATTGCGTCTGGTATTTACCCCACCTCGCTTTCAAAAGAAGACTCGCCCTGTAGACGACCCATTCTGAAACATCCCACCCTGTAGAAACCACGCCCTGCTGATGTCGTTTATCCAAAAAATTTCTCTAGTCTCATTTATGTATTTATGCATGTTGTCAATGCATGGTATCAAGGCAACGTCGCTTCATCATTTTGAGACTAGCATATAATTGTAATTTGAATGATTACGCGTGTGTTGAAGGGTGAGGAGGATTAGACCGCCTAATTTTCAAATTCCAAATATCAAGGGGTTCTTTTACGTGAATGGCTAGTCAAAGTGTTCCTCGTGTTCCTTGGTTTTACCTCGTGTACAAATGCGGCTGATGGAGGGTGGGGGGGATATGATCTAAACGTGCACCATATTATCTAACACGCACACGTTAAACCATTCGGCCACCTCCCCCACCTCTATCGAAGCAGAGGACACGAGAACCTTCCATTGCGAGGTGTCCGTATCGGAAGCATTTTTTTCCATACCCAGAAAACACTCGTATCTGTTTGTGATACATTGTATACTCAGATTGACATTTTGATTTTAGTTGTGTACTGAAGTGGTAGAAGACCACCCAAGTGGAGGCCATGGTGGATGGGGTGGATGGGGTATGATGCAACAAAGCCGTCCCCGATATGTCTGTGAGCATCCAGTTTTGTGTTGTAAACTCGGCTTGGCATCGGCTCCCAGCGATGCAGCTCACCATTAAGCAGCGCTCTCGTCCGCTTTGGGTTTCAATGGGAACCAAACAAAACACTAATCTATAAAATGATATATGTACATCAATTTATTAAAAATAGTTTGTTTTATAACATTCAAAGATACGATTTACATATCATTACATAGTTTATAAATGATAATTAAGACTTATATATAAAGGAAATGATTAAATATTTTTGATGACAATAACTTGCACATTAGTTGCACGCTGATTGTATTATCATAAACACCAGTTAATTATACAGATATAATAATAACTCTTTGATTGTATATTACGGTATCATATTTCATGAACATTTGTTTTTAACAGTTTCGGTGATGAATTTTTCAACACAATAAAATTTGTACAATTTTTTGTATTGATGTCTGTCTTGTGCTCTCTGAATTAATATCAAGAAAGCTGACTTGTATTTTGTTAATGGTTTAAATGGTTAACAAAAATGGTTTTAACATTCTCAGAACATAAAGAGGCAGATTTTACAAAACAACTAAATAATTTCTAGAAACAATTATCTTCTCTATGAATAAAATTAATCTGTTGAATTTATGTTTTCTCTGTCATTTTCTTGGGTTTCTTTTTTGTTTTCGTTTTGATTGTTGTTGTTTTTTGCTTTTATGTTTCCTCTTAGCATATTAAGAAATGAAATGAAATGGGGTTTAACTTCCTACTGTTCTACTCCTATGCTGAACTAAAGAAGACGGGCATACACCATAGAGTGTGCCATGAGGGAAATTGTGCCCGGGCAGCGGCACTATGGCCTACTCTTATATCGATTTACAACTACCGAGGGATCTTTTACGTACACGCCAATATATACACTGATCATGGCAAGGGGAAGCCACTTTGGAAAATCTCGATGAACTTTTTCGGCTATTGCAAGGATCGAACACGCGACCTCCAGGCTAGCGGGTTACCCACTTAGCCACCGTGGCTCCCTAGGGTAAATAAAGACGGGCATCGGCTATACAGTGTGCCATTCGATGAATAGTGTCCAGAAAGTGGCGATACGGCCCAGTCAAGGGTTGTTTTCCGTGAACGCCGATGTGTACACAGGTACGTGGTTTTCGTCCCAACCGCCCTGTACCACAGGGGGAAACCACGCCGGACAATCCTGAGGAACTTCTCGGCCCATACCCGAAACCCGCGATCTCCTGGTTAGCTAGATATGGCCTTACTCACTGAACCATCGCGGTGGTCCATCTCACTGAAATGTAAAAGTGTAATACTGTGGGGGCTATTTTAGTTCTAATAAAGGTGTCTATTTAATATAGAAATTCTTTACCTACTTGATGTGTGACGAAAATTTGGGTAATGAAGTAACTTGCATTAATCTATATATACTACTTTCTTAGACTAACTCATCGACAGTTATGTCAGTATCCATTTCTGGAAAGTAGGGTACTATCGTCCAGTCATCTCGTGTACAGATTAGTACAATTAACTAGAAGAGGTGCCAATACGAAACATTTAGCCAAAAATGGTAATCGTCCCGCCCTAATAGCTGACAGATTCTACTTCTATATAGGACAGAGCTAATTTGATTTATCTTCAGATATCATAGAGCCTTGGCTGAGAGGCTGGGAAATAGACATCATTCGGACATCATTTAGACACCACTTGGTTTAGATCGCCCCGTTAAGTCGTAAGAGAGCCATATGATGTTGTGGGGTCTCCGTCAGTAAACTTGTCCTACGAAATGGTGGGGTCGAGAGGTAGAGAGAATGATGTTAATAGTAATCTATGCTTGTAATTTATGTATCCAGCCCGACATATAAATATAGAAACGAACTGTGGTATTGTTATTCCTGTATTTTATAGTTTGCTGTATTCGATATATAAACATAAACAGTGTTTCAGACTTAATTGATCATTGGAAATAGTTATCACAACGTGAAGTCAAAGAAATTCCTAGACAATAGTGTCACCCTAGTATCACGGGCCGTTTTCTGGAAGTTCCTGATTAGATAGTCATATTGACCTTTTTGTTTGGTACCGCGACACAGGATAGTCTCACAAAGGCCAATGATTTTAACGGAGAAAAATACCAATATCAGCGATTTTGACAAACGGTTACCGACTAGTAAGCCCATTTAAACTAAATTTCAATCAGCGATATCTCAGGCACCGATACTCTGATCAAGATCAAATTGTGAATAACGGCTAAAATAAACATAAAAAGCAAATTTAAGCAAAATCAAAGGGAGTATAGCTTACAACATTAAGCGATTTGACCTTATAGTCGCTAGATCACGACTTAATCACATCACCCCAATTCTACCGTACATCTCGGCTATAGTTTATAGAACCCACCTCCCGCATTCCACCTCCCTACTATAGTCTCTTGATCACGATTTAATCCCAACACCTCCATTCTACTGTACCTCTATGCTATAGTCTCTATATCACGAATTAATCCCGCCTCCTCCATTCCACCTCTCTGTTATAGTTTTTAGATTCCGACTTAATCACATCACCTCATGCTATCGTACCTCTCTACTATAGTCTTTAGATCCTGACCTAATCACAGCACCTCAATCTATCGTACCTCTCTGGTATAGCACCTAGTTACCAACTTAATCCCACCTCATCCATTCCACCTCCAGGCTATAGTCTCTAGATCCCACCTCTTTCGTTTAACCCCTCTGCTATAGATCTCGACTTAATGCTACATCATCCTTTCATTCCCCTGCGCTATACCGAGCTAATTTCTCGGTCCTAGTGTTTTTCTACCCCGCCTTCTATCGTCTCTCGCCTGTCCAACCTCGTGGGTTTTCTCCGGGTCCTCCGGTTTCCTCCCACTGCTAAAGACCCCTACGCGCAAGCGAATTGTTGAAATAAAATTAAACCATATGTTAGTCCCGAAATGACCTAGTTTGTGTCGAGTGGACGTTAAACCCCATTTTTTTCTCTCTCTCTCTCTCTCTCTCTCTCTCTCTCTCTCTCTATCGTCTCTAGATCCCGACTTAAACCCTTCCATTCCATGCAACCCTTCTATCGTCTCTAGATCCAGACTCAAACTGTTTCACCCACCCACCCCCTCTTCTACCGTATCTATCCCGACTTATATTAGGGATGGGCGGTGCACGAGTTAATCTGAACGAGTTTTGACTCCGCTAAAGGTGTCGAGCATCATTTATTTGAGGAATCATTGTAAACTATTATACTGTAAAAATTATATCACTGAAAGGGATATTAATCCAAGAATTCTCATCAGTATTTACAAAGGCACGATGAATCGGAAATTTGTCCACATTCGGCATCCTTCGAAGACGATATAAAACCCGCAGAACCTATAATATGCGCCAAAGTCTTCTGAACCAATTGAGTCCAAAGCGGGAGACCGTTGATATTTTGATTTTTTGTTCTTAATTAAATTTTATGGATACATTTTCATGAATTTTATGGCAAATTTGTCTAAATGGAAAGCAGAGACACCCATTCTTACTAGAAAAATACAGGATTCCCTGAAATACACTAGGCAAAACTGTTAGGTGTAACACTAACTCCCAAACCGACGGCTTACTACTTGCCAGCTTGACTTACGGGGCGGTTGTTATTTCTTGATCAAATGGTTAGGCGGTTTGGGAACATTGAGGGGCTTAACGTACAACGGAATCTGGAATTAAACGGTGGAAAAATAAGTTGACAGAAGATAATCCAAAAATCTACTTAAGCTTCAATATGTATGGCAAATGGACAGTAAGTAGTGACAAATACATTGTGAAAATGGGCCCTCTCTTAAGTGAAAAACATGGCTTCTAGAAATATATATATTATATCTTGAGGTATTTCATTGCGAATACAAGGTTTTGAGATAAAAATAAAATAAAACCAAGTACGAACAATCCAAACCATTAGACAAAATTCGAAGTTCTAAAAGAACGGTATAGGCAAAATAGTGTAATAAGGCAAAATAGTGTAATTTGAAGCAAAAGTTTGATGGATTTATTAGTTTGATTATGCTTTTAGTCCAAATATATCATCAAACCGCCTAGTTTGTACGCGAGATGGCATCTTTAAATAATTAATAATTATGAATACCGGCAGATTTTAGAATGGATTAAGCTTTGAAAAGTCCGAAAATGAATTGCTCCTTTACATATTATAATTTCGCGACATAATAAAAAAGATTGTCCGAGTTCAATCAGATGATTACACGATACTAATTAGCATCCAACGTCAATGGGTTGAAGTAATAATGCACGTAATGTTAGTTAATACTCATAATTATGATTAGGATGTGATGAAATAGGAAGCGCGATCAGAGATGTGTTGGGATTCCATTCAGTGGATTAGGGAATATTACGTAATAGATTATATATATTATATAAAGCAAAACTACGAGGACAGGTCATTCACTACTTGTCCCGTATCCAGACCATCATGTTGAAGTTTGTTGTCGTTGTTTTAGCTGTTGCTATCCTGTCGTGTCATCATGCACAAGGGCAATTCTGGAGAAACAATCCACGTTTGTTAGGAGCGAATCAAGATACAGTCGGTAGGTTCCAAATAGTTTGCATGTACATATTGTGTAGCTTTGTACTATATTGAAATCTAATCATTGGCTTTCCGAAGCAGCTCTAGTAGTGGACATGTACTATGGATATCATTAGCCATCATGGTCCCGAAAAAGATGTTCTTGCACATAGTGTGTAGTTTTTAACTCTATTAAAATCTAATCATTGTGTGTTGGGTGGTGGAGTGGCCGAGTGGTCAACGGCACGCTCTTTAGATTATAAGACATGTTATCTAAGTTAGCAGTCTTAGATATAGACCAGGAATATAGTCACCTGTCTTCCGAAGTACTCCGGTTTCCCGCCAAATTTGAAAACACCTGTGCTTAAGAATTATTTAAAATATGTTAGTCCTGAAAGGATACAGATAATGTTAAGCAGCCATTAACGCCCCATCCCTTCTCTCGTATTTCCCATACTGTCACATATAGTTTATCCATTCTCTACGTTTCGTAAATCGAGACACCCTGTACATGTAGACAGTTCGCCTAAAATTCACCATTACGGGTAAATGTCCCACATATGTCCAGCGTTTGTAATAACTGTTTACGATTAAGGTGGTTGTTATATGGACTTCCTGCTCATTGGTCGTTACATTTTGTGTCTATTTTAGCGGAACGTGCAACAATTACATGCGTGGGTCATAATTATGGAGCAAACGGAGATGATTCTTTGGCTGTAACATTTGAAGCTGTTTCAACACCGAGTACAAGTCCATGGGGAGCTTTTGGCGTGGTATGTATTAAATAGTAGTTATTAATAATCAAAGAAAGCTTTCGAATAAATAATCAAATACGAATAACATTGTTTCATCCGATTGAATAGTATTGATTTGGGTAGTCAAATCTTTAACGCATGTGCGTTATTTCGTGGGGTCTGTCATGGAGTCACGAATCAAGTGGCTTGGTTGATTGGGTCGCCTGTCCAACCTATTAGAGTTTCTCTGGGTCCTCCGGTTTACTCCCACAGTTAAAGACTCC